CCCGCCCCGCCCCGGCCGCCCGCCGCCCGCCGCCCGCGCGGGACCCACTTGTAGCCGCCGCAGGATCAAACTCAGTTCACCTCTCGCCTCCTCTTCCTTCTCGCCGGCGTCTCGCTGAGCCCGGCACCTACAGACGGACGAGATGAGACACACACACGCGCGCGCGCACACACACACACACACACACACACACACACACACGGTGCGCGCTCGCACGGTGCCCGCTTGGCTGCTAGGCTATTTCCCTCCCTCTTTTCCTCCCTCCCGGGTCCCGGCCCCCTCCTCCCGCCCCAGGCAGTCCCGCGTGGGCCGTCGCCCCAGCGGCTGAGGTCTCGGCCGGACTGCCCCTCTACTGAGGGGCTCCAGAAGCCCCTGAACCTGTGCTTAGGGTCCCGAGCTCCTATCCCGCGGAACCGCTCCGGCTCCTATCTCATGGGACCCCTCAACCCTCCCATTTGCTGCTCCCAATTCCCCCTAGGTGAGGTCCCCCATCCTCAATCCGTACATCCCCAAACCTTGGATGCAAGGTCTCTCCTCCCTTCCATATGTCTCTTACCCCACAAGACCCCGATGTTCCCCTCTCCCTGTCCGCGTCCCGGGCCGCTGACCCTGAAGCCCCTCCTCTCGGACGCTCGAGACCCCCTCACTTTGTAGTTCCCTCTGCCCCCTGCAGCATCCGAGGAACCTCGATGCTGATCCCGGTGGGTGTCCCGCGCCGAGGACAAATGCGGCGGCCCCGGCACCCGGAGGCGGGAGGAATCGGGTACAAACGTTCATTGATACAAATGAGTAAATAAGCATGCCCGGTGAGCGGGGCCACCTTCTCCGAGCCGGCCGCAGAGGGCCCGGCGCGCGTGCCTGTGCGAGGTGTGCGTGTGGCCCTGGGCCACACCTGTGTGTGCGCGCGTGTGTGTCCCTGGGTCGGCCCGACGTCTGTGGAGCTGTGTGGTGTGTCTGCGGGTTTGCGTGTTCTCTCTGGAGCTGTATGTGTGTCTGTGCATCGTGCATCCGTCTGTCATCTGGCCTCTCCTCCTGCGTGTCTGTGATCCATGGAGGTGTGCATGCCAACCCCGACATCGTCTAGCTGGTGCCGGGCTCGCCCTCTCCCGTGCGTCCTGTTTCCCCCAGCCCCCTGTCTCTGCCGTTCACTCTAGCCTTCCCAGAGCAGAAGACTTGATATCCCCCCTTCGGTTTAGGATAGTGTGTGTGTAAAAGAAACTAGACTCCCCTTTTAACACCTCCCCTGCACCCAATATGGGTTCTATTTTAGAGTTCACTAGAAGAAAATGTGTGTGAGCGTCTAAGGTGCGAGCATATGTGCTGTCCCTCCCTGTGTGAGCGCCTCCGAGTTTGCTGTGGCGGGCGGAGATTTAAAAGCTGGTCTCGCGCTGCTAGCGCTGGGTCATCTCTATTCTCACTCTCTGCCCTGGAACCCCACCTAGTGGACAGTTGTAGTACTACGGATTCAGGGGGAAGCAATTCCCGCTCCCCCTTCCCTCAAGCTCCTTTCATAGAGGGAGATCAGCCCCTCTTGTAGATTCCCAAAGGGCTCCACTCCAGCCCCAGAGCCCTCAGACTTCCCCTCCAGGCGGCTTGGGGCCCAAACATTCACAAAGTCCCCGTCAGGACCACTGTGGCCCAAGAAATAGAGAGCTGGGGCACATCCTCACAACAGGGACATTTCACAGGACAGTCAACTCTGGACTGGGCACCAGGAGTGGTGAGGCCAATGCCACCTCACTCTCCATCTGGGGTGAAGCTGAACAAGAATGGGGCTGGGGGAGACTGTTGAGGCCTTGCTGTTTTGAAGAGCCCTAAGAATCTAGCCTGACCCCAGGACACAGCGCTGGCCCCGCCCGAGGTGGTGAAATGGGCAAGATGACTCTGGGGAACCCACCCGTGGAGACATCCATCTTTGAAAGGATGGACACAGCCTTATAGAGATGCAAATAGATGCACAGGCAGATACCGAGCACACACACGCACACAGGCAGGCACATACACCTAGAGAATCATTGTCAACAAATTCACACAACACCCGCCTCCCAGCCACCAACCTCAGGAGTCCCCAGGAGGAGTCTGCTGTCAGGATCACAGCCCCAGAATCTCCCGGAACTCACTGTCTTCCCTTCCCCCACCCTACCTCCCCAGGACAGCTTTTGTGCACTTTCATCCTCTTCTCCTGTCCAGGTATAGAGCGAGAGTTGAGAGGGGCATGGGGGAGTCATTCTGAGTCCTTATTGCCCAGCCACCAAGTGGGGTCCTGGGGATGTCCACAGGGACAGCACAGCCCCACACAATAGTTGCTGGGTTTCCTAATTGGAACCATCTCTCTGCTCCGATCCCAAAGACTTCTTAGGGAGAACGAGAAGGAAAGCCGCGGTGTTATAATTCTCTAAGACTTGCCAGAGAATCTGGGGAGAGGAGGCAGGCTGGGGCTGTGGAGCAGCTTGTTAAGAGGGGGCCTAGGACAGAGAAGGGTCAGCAACCATCTTCGCCAGTCAGACTCCATCAGAGGACATCCTTTCATCCGCCTCAGATGGACTTCTGACCCTGGCCCTAGACTGAGCCCTGATCCAGACCTCAGTCTGACCCATAACCCTGACCTAACACAGACCCCTGAACCTAATCCCAGACTAACCCTTAACCCTGGCCACAGATTGTCCCTGCCCCTGACCCCGGACTGAACCCCAGTCCCCTCAAGCATCACCCAACCCCACCTTCGGCCAGGGAAGTGTGGCTGGCCCCTTGTGGACTGGCCCAAAGGTAAGGCACAGCTCACCCCATGAGGCTCTGGGAGCAGGAGTGGGCTGTAGGACAGAATTTCTCAATCTGGCCTGCAAGTGATTGTCCATTCCCCGGTGAGCGTCCCTCTCCCTCTGAGCGGCTGCAGCTAATATCACAGGGACTTCTGGACACCCCCCATGGACAGCCCTTTTCCATGGGCCCAGGGCACACCCTGGGGCTTCACCTGTTGCCTATAGTTCTCTAAAGCCTTGGCTCACGTCCCTGTGGCCCTCCAGGCACCTTGAAATCAGTCAGAACAGCCTGGGGGATCAGTCATGGGGATGCTGGTTCAAGTGGAGTTCTGCCTGGATGAACTCTGCAATGCTTGGCAGAGGGGCTGGGGGCACATGGTGGGCTGGCTTCAGCACTCTGGGAATATGCAGACAATGGGCAAGGCACGGCCTCTGCGCCCTCTTCCCGGGGGCAGAGAAAACATCCCTCCACAGGGGCAAGTCTGCCTCGAGTCCTGCTCCTTCCCAAGCCATGAAGCTCCCCAGGATGTCTCGGCCTTTTGATGCCCGATAGAATAAAGACATTGCACCTTCCAAATCCCTTATACGTGTGCAGACCTGTAAAGCCAACACATCTCTTCTCCAGCTACTATTTTATTTCATCTCCACACAGCCCCGTGAGATGACACTATTTTTAGATGTTAGATTTACACGTTGCTTTCGGTACTGATGAGAAAACTGAGACCCAGAGTTCCCCCTCCCCACCCCAGTGTTTTGTCCTACTCCTTCTCCCCCCAACAAGCACAGCCCCCTGAGACTCGAGATCCTGCCCCACACGGCAGCTCCTGCGTTTAATGCCCGTGCTTCTGATCACTAAAGCTGACCACAGAGAGCAGTCAATTTTACACTCAACTTTGCATAGTTTTGGCCCTGAATTTTTTTAAATTTATGCTTATTTACTTTCTTTTCCCTAAATCTACCTCTGCTTCCTCCAACTAGAGCCAAATGGAAAGGGAAAAGAAGCCCAGGATAAAGGTGGCGGTGGCTGGTATCCAGAGAACAGAGACGGGGAGGTGGTGGGCAGGAAGCGGGGCTGGTATTCGGGGGTCTCCAGAGTGTGTGCAGGGTCTCCCTGGCCTCCCCTCTGGACCCCAGTAGCCTCACCTGAGGGATAAAGCTCAGACTCTCACTCGAGAGTCCTCTCTGCTTTTAGCCCTGTCCTGTCTTGCCAGCACCGAGAAGCCCTTGGAAATCAGCTCTCCGGTCCTCCTCATCCTCCTCGGGGCCTCAGGCTGGTCCCCATTTCATTCTAAGCTCTCTCAGGACGTGCCTGCCAGTGACAGGGCCCCTTGCCTGAAAATTCCAAGTCCAATGAGAAAGCGACATTGTGTTTTCTTCTGAGGAGCTGTGGAGGAGAGGGCCGCTCTGGGACACCAGCTCAGTCGTGTTCCTCCCCCCTCTCTAGAAGTGGAGCAGAAAGTGCTCCCCCAGCGCATTGGCAGGGCCCCTTGTGCCCTGACTCCCAGCTCATGGCCCCAGACATTCATCCCGAGGCCTGTGTGCCTACCTTCTCCCACCCCATGCCCTCCCTCCAGCACGG